CCTCGGGGAGACTGTGCAGCTGCCACCTGGGGCAGGGCCTTGCTGCGCGCTGAAGGGAAGATGCATCGGAGATGGGTCACTGTCCGGCCAGGACCTGGGGCCGAGGCCTTGCCATACGTCCTGTCCGTGGGGAGGGGTTTCTCATTGCTTTTCTCTCTCTGGGGCTGGGGGAGACAGCAGGTGGCAGCTCCGCTCCTCCTGTCAGCACACACATCTACACTGCGCCTGGGCTGGCCCGGCCCGGCCTTGCTCTGCCTGCCAGGTTCCTGCACACAGGAGGTTGGAGGCGTCTGTGTGGAGTCAGACTCTTCCTAGAACCATAGAGGTGAGAGATGGCAAGTCCCCATGAGGTCTCATCTTGTCCCAGCCCCAGGGGCCAGTGCAGGATTGTTACTACAGTGCGTTCTGTTGTGTCTCGCAGACCTGGCTGCCAGTCTTGTTTGGGTCAGGGAGCCCCCAGTACATCCTGGGAAGGTTTCACTCCTATTGTTTCTCCGCAGGGTGTGTGCTTCTTTACAAACAGGATTTCACCAAGAACCTGGGCCTGTGTTGCATCACCTGCACCTACTGTTCCCAGACCTGCCAGCGGGCAGTCACCGAGCAGCTGGAAGGCAGCACATGGGACTTCTGCAGTGAAGACTGCAAAAGCAAATACTTACTGTGGTACTTCAAGGTCAGTATTGGCACTGGCAGCTGCCTGCCAGAGCTGTTGTAGGTGCCTCATCCAGAGCAGTGGGTGTTGCTGTGGGGAGCTTGCACTGATGGGACACTGCTGTGAGGGAGCTCACATGGTTGAAGTCCCCAGCTGATGCTGCCAGAGCACCACACTGCAGACCTGACAGGGCTGGATCCGTGGCCAGTGCCGTCGTGGAGAATGCCAGCATGCTGTAGCCCCGGGCACTGCTGGGGGGAAGCTCGCAGCACTCTGCCGTGCACTCCCGTCCCGCTGGAGCACGTCTGCGTTGCGCCCGGAGTGAGGGCGGCTAGTGACCTGATTTTTCTCTCCTGCGATCCGGGCTTTAGGCAGCTCGGTGCCACGCCTGCAAGCGTCAGGGGAAGCTACTGGAAACCATCCACTGGCGGGGGCAAATCAAACACTTCTGCAACCAGCAGTGTCTGCTGCGCTTTTACAATCAACAGAACCAGCCTAACCTGGACACGCAGAAGGGGCCCGAGAGCCTGCTGAACAGTGAGTAGGAGGGAGGGGGGGGACCTGCACGGCTCCACCCCAGACACAGCAGGGTGGAGGGTCCCATGGCTGGGACTGGACAGGACGCTAGGGAACAATCCTGCACTGGCCCCCCGGGGGGAAGGACTGAGTGGGACCTCTCGGGGCATCTCAATCTCTAACGCCTATGGTTCTATGACACACAGGGCCCTGACGGGAGGAGCCGGTGCCAGCGCGCTGCCTGTAGCTCTCGCTTTTAGCGAGGATACTCAGGGATTTAATGGGTGACTCCATCCTCTTACCGCCTGTTGCCAGCGGAGAGCTCCATTTACAGGGTTAGGGGACAGCATGGTTGGACTTGCCAGTCCACCTGCAGCCCCGCACCACCTCTGAGCTGTGACCTTCTCTGAGCTCATAAGCTAAGCAGGATTGGGCCAGGTCAGTGCTTGGATGGGAGACCTCAAAGCAAAGCCAAGGTGCTACAGGAGGTGGTGCTGGTGATGCTGTAGGTGGGGCTCTTCAGGCAGTCCCCTAGGGCAGACGGGCATGCTGAGCTGCTGCAGGTGCTTTTCTTCCCTCCAAACAAAATTGGGGCGTTGAGCCTGTGCAAAGTCACGGGAAGGCAGGAGCTGCTTTCCCTGTGGCTGGCGTATGCCCTCCCTGCCATCCTGCTAGCAAAGGGGCTCTCTTGCCTGTTGTCCATTCCTTGCTGGCAGTGTAAGTCAGCTGGTCGTGGGCAATCGCAGTGCTTTGGGATCCCACGGGCTGGAAGAGCCCATCTGTGGGATGCTAGACTTGGCCTTGCTTTACTGGGCCCTCTGGGCCCAGCCGCCTCCCCTAGCTTTGTGCAGGTTTGGAAGCTGTCCAGGCCTCCTGCCAGACATGCACCAGATATGGACTCGGCATCAGCCATGTGGGCTGCCCCACACCCAGTGACCTTGGGGAAGCCACTGCGTGGGACCCAAGAGGCATTAAGCCCAGCTCAGCTGGACCAGGGAGAGCCTGCTGTGGCAGAAAGAGAACCTGCCCTTGGCTCCGGGCCCTCTGTTGCCTGGAGGCAGGGACACGAATGGGCTGAACCCAGCATCACCCATGGCCCCAGGAACCAGCGGGACAGCTGGGCAGCTCACTCAGCAAGCGGCTGTGGCAAGAGCTACACTCCTGACAACTAGCAAGGTGCCTGTGCATGGCCTCGGCCACCTGTCTGTCCTGTGCTGGAGCAGCAAGGGGGTGTGGGTGCAGCCTGCCCTGTCAGGGGTGAAGACAGGAAGGCCTCAGAGGCTCTGTACAGGGGCCCTGGGAGAAGGGCAAGGACCCAGCAGCTCTGGGAACCTGGATAAAACACATGTGGTGCTGCCAGTCCTGAGGTGTCCAGAGGCCAAGGATCCATCCAGGCAAAACCACCCCGTTCTCCCACCAATGGAATAGCACAGCATTCGCTGCTTCCCAGCACCTGTGCTGCCTCCGCTGCATCCTGGGCCGGCTGAGGCAGAGGGGCATGCGGCTGCTCTACACAGTCCGGGGGAACGGCCCGGTGTGCAGGAGCCCCTGCAGCCCCCTCTTCTGAACTTGCCTAGGAGGCCTCCCATGCTCAGGAATGCCTGCACCAGCGCCCCTGCCAGGCAGCCATTGCCTATGCCCCTTGGCCCCAGGCAAGGCTCCTGTTGTGCCTCAGACAAGACTGGAGGCCCCAGGCTCTGTCAGGCTGTTCACCCAGGGCTGTCCATCCGTCCTCAGGGTGGCTGGCTGCTTTTCCTGCTTCAAGTGGCTAGTATGCAGCTTGCCTGGACTCAGCAGCAGTCTGGGGCTGTGCAGGCGAGGGGCATGTGGGCCTCCTGAGAAGGGCTGGATGTTGCAAGGCTGCTTCCTCAGTATAGGGTGCATGCTTACCCTGAAGACGTGGCGGTGCTGAAGGACCTTCCTTGCCTGCCGGCCCCATCACCAGGATGCAAGGACTCAGGAGGTCTCTGAGCGCTCCCCCCGGGCTGCTTGCTCATCTTCCCTGCGCTGGAGTTGCAGGAGAAGTGCTTGTGGACGAGCTGCGCTGCCTGGGGGATTTCTTGGAGGGTGGCTCATCTCCTGCTCTGGATGCAAGCCCTCTACAGCGTCTTGCAGGATAGCTGTCACGCCATCTGCCCAGCAAGCCCTGCTCTGTGCCAGGAACAGGCAGAGTCCAGCTGCAAGAGGCTCTGCCCTGATTGAGTCCTTCCACGTGACTTCAGTGGGAGTTTGGAGCTGCCCAGGCCTCCTGGCAGATGAGCATGAGGGAGGTGAAAATACCAGGGACTGGATTTCAAATGGACCTGGCCTCCATTGCTTGTGCTGCCGCTTGCCCAGAGTCTTGAAGCTAATACTGCTTCCGTGGGATCCAGAGACATTAGGCCGGACTCGGCCGTAAAGGAGGGCCTGCCGTGGCACTAAGGGCCCCACCTAACAGAGCCCTGTTTCTGGGCATGCCTGCAGGTGAGGCCATGAACAGGTAAACCCTAACGTTGCCTGTGGGCCTGGAAACCAGAAGGCACTTACCCAGCAAGCTCAGTTCACTTTGGCATAGGCTCCCACTGGTTACTGGTCTCTAGCCCCTCGGCATCCCAGCATACTTCATTTCTTTGGCCCTGCAGCTTCTTCTGGCTGCAGAGCAGCTCGGGAACTGATCCACTGTGGTTAGTGAGAGGCCTGGGACTCAGGGCACCAGTCTGCTGTGACTGGTGTCTGGTGGGAGCTGCCTGCGTCAGCTCTGCACAAAGCCTCCCAAGGAGTTCTGGCTCCGTGGCGGGTCCTGCTCCCCGCTGCTGGCCCAGCCGACCAGGTTCATGGCACGTGAGCTGCCTAAATGAATGCTCTGGCCATGGCTGTCCACTGGCAGCTGAAACCTGGGGTGGGAGCTAGGACCCCAAGATCCTTGTAACCCAGGAGCCAGTCCCATTGCAGCTGACGGAGCAGCACTCGGTTTGGCCCTTTAGCACGTGGGGCCAGGGGGAGCAGCTTTCCAGAGTCAGTAGTCTTCCTGCCACAGAGATGACCGTTGCTGCTGGTGTGCCCCATAGCCCTGGCATCGCCCACTCGGGTGCAGCTCTGAGAGGCAGGCGGGTTCTTGTCTGCAGAGGATGGACATGAGTGCTGGGTCCCTGGAGGCTGGCAGCTTCTGCTGCTGGGGTGGCTGCAGCCTACGCTGGACCCGGCTAGGACTCGCTCCCTTGCCCTCATTGGGGTTGATCCAGGGGCTCTGGGCCTGTCTCCCTTGCATGTACCTGCAGCTTTCCCTGCATTTCCTCTGTGGGGTCCAGGCTCCCAAGAAAGCTGCTCCTGGAGCCCAGCCGAGGGGGAGAGGAGACGGGTGTCGTGGTGACCCTTGTTGCTGCAGTTTGATGACACAGGCTCTCTGCAGTGCTTGTCCCTGTGCCAGCAGGGTGGAGGCACTCCCCAGGGTCCTGCTGTCCGACCTGCGTGGGGTGAAGGCACGGCGCTCGCAGGTCAGCTGTGCCCTGGGCGGTCCCATGGACCAGTCCTCCATGCTGAACATGAGGTTGGGGCAGATGGTTGAGGCCAGGAGAAGCTCAGCGCTGTCTTTGCCTGATGCACTTGTGTTTGCGGGAGTGGACCCTCGGCTGGGCTGTCTGCAGCCCAGAGCCAGCCTCGCTCTTGGTACAGAGGGGGCTGTGAGGTCCCCTCCAGCACCTTTCTGCTCCAAGTTTCAAAGCACTCTGCAGAGGCATTCCCTGGCCGGCAGCAGGGAGAAGGGATGCGGCTCTAGTCAGGCCCCCGGCCTCCACTGGAGGAGCTGGGGTGGAGCCTGGGCCGCTGTGAGCAGGGCTGGGCCGCAGCAGGCTGGGGAGACGGTAGGCCAGGTGCATGGGGTGGGGTGCAGGGGAGACCAGAGGCAGCGGGAGTGACGGGACAGCCAAGGCCCAGGGCCCTCTGAGCTGCTCAGGTGAGGGACGTTCTGGCAACTAGTCGCCTCTCCTGGGACTGGCCTGGGCTCTGATCAGAGACCCTGCCTTGCTGGCCCAAGTCTGCAGCCACGTCTAGCCCCAGCCGTGGCCCTGCCAGCTTGCAGGCACCCACACGGGAGTGGAGCACGCAGCTGGGGCTGATGACCCTCTCTTTGCCTTGCAGGTCAGACCCCAGAGCCAAAGCCACCTGCCTCTTCGCAGCAGAAAGCAGAGACAAACACGGTGAGTCTTGAATAGGGGGCGGATGTCCTAAGGGTGTGTGCACGGGGGTGCCCAGGAAGGGCCGTGGCTGCCCCCAGCCTGGGATTCTGTCAAGTGAGAGCAGGGCCCAGAGGGTGCGGGGTGGGGACAGTGCGCCTTGCCCCAGGAGCGAGGCCTAGGTTGCGCTGGGGGCAGCACAGCGGTCTTGGTGCTGGTGGTGGGGAGTGGCCAAGCCCCGTGCACAGACATGGGGTGACAACCAGGCCTGGGCTGTGGACTTGCTTATAGATCCTTGACGTTTGCCCAGGTGCCGTCTTTCCCTGCTCTGGCCTGACAGCTCAGTCCTGGTGGCTGTGGGCCAGAGCTCCTTCCTGCCTGACAAGGTGGGCTTGCCACTCGGGTGTCACCAGCCCCTGGGCTTGGCATTCCCTTGGCCAGGTCTGGCCATGACCTGCAGCAGGTGCCTGCCTCAGCATCAGGGAGAGCAGCAAGGGGTCTGGCCCCGGCACTGTGCTGCGCTGGTGCACCAGGCAGCACTGCAAAGGTGGGCACCGGCTGCCACAGCTTCCAGGAATCACCCGGCCCCAGGGGCTGGGAGTGTCCACTGGCTAGAAGCAGTCTTGGTTGGAGCCAGACACCAGCAGCCCCTTTCTGGGTTATTTCAGGTGCCTGCAAAAGCCTTGTCCGCCCAGGTGTCTGCTCCCCCACCACCTCCGCCACCAGTTCCGGCCACGCCTCGGAAGAACAAAGCTGCCATGTGCAAGCCCCTGATGCAGAACCGTGGTGTGTCCTGCAAGATCGAAATGAAATCCAAGGGGTGTCAGACGGGTGAGTGCGGTGGTGCCGTTGGGGCTGCACTGGGTGCTGGAGCGTGGCTCATGGGACTGGCACAGTGTGGGTTCGGGGGGCATCGGGCACTGTGGGTTGCTGGGAGTGGACTAGCAGGGCATAGCAGGGGCAGCACGAGGCTGGCAGCTGCCCAGGGAGAGGCCTGCACCTTTTCCAGAGAGCATGGAGAGGTGGCCCAGTCTCCACACCACTTGCTTCTCTTGCCGTACGTCTGCTGCTCATCTCTACAACTCCCAGCCCCCCGCCAGCCCTGCCACAGCCCAGCTCATGCCCCGGGGGAGACAGCCAAGCTGGGCCTTCCCAGCTCCGATCGGTTCTCACCCTACGTCTGGGGGGTCAGCCTTCCCTGTCGTGGGTACAGCTGGCTGCCAGGGCCCTGGGTGCGTGGGAACAATGTGAGCTGGCAAAGGGCTCTGCCAGACTAGGGAGCCTTCAGGGCTCTCGTGATTGTACCAGAGTCCAGGTCCTGAAGCTCTCTGGCGGTCTCAGGGCTGCAGGGCTGTCAGTCCCAACCCAGCGGGAGCGCTCTGTGGGGAGGGCTTGGCGGCCGCAGCAGCAGCCCGCAGCCTGGCTCTCCGCTGCTCCACCTGGGCTGAGCTAGGGGAGCGGGTGCCAGCAGCATGGGCCCCCTGTGCCATGCCAGGGAGGATGGTGTGTGGAGGACCCTACCAGCCATGCCTGCGAGGCTGAGCATGACTGGCAGCCCCCATGCCCGCCCTGCTGCCAGGATACTGATTGCGGTCTACCCCCAACAGAGGCAGATTGGAAGCCCCAGGTGATTGTGCTGCCGGTCCCAGTCCCGATCTTTGTGCCTGTGCCTATGCATATGTACTGCCAGAAAGTACCCGTGCCTTTCTCCATGCCTGTCCCGGTAAGTGATGCTCCTTCCCCCAGTCCACTCGGTAAGCACCTGCTCTCTCCGCCCTGTTGCCAGCAGCAGGGAGTAGGGCCAGGGTTTTCCACTTGTCAGAAGCCCCTCTGACCCTGCCTGACATCGCACTGGTCCCAGGTGCCTGTGCCAATGTTCCTGCCCACCACGCTGGAGAGCACGGATAAGATTGTGGAGACCATTGAGGAGCTGAAGGTGAAGATCCCATCCAACCCCCTGGAGGCTGACATCCTGGCCATGGCAGAGATGATCGCAGAGGCGGAGGAGCTGGATAAGGCCTCCTCGGACCTGTGTGGTATGTTCCACCCCTGCCTCAGGCTTGGGAGTCCCTCCCCAGAGCTGGCCAGGGGGCCCCACTGCTCCTGGAGCCAAGCCCGCTTCCCAGGTTTGGCTCTGCGGAGTCTGGCATGGGCCAAGCCGTTGTTAGCCGTAGCTGAGCATCCATGCTCTGTGACCAGCATGTGCTTGAAGAGCCATGCTCTAGCAGGATAGTGACTTCCAGCTCTGTCTGGTAGAGCCTGTAGTGCAGGCCATGACTGCCAAGGCTCTGGCTGGCTGCCCCAAGGTCCTGTCCTGCAGTGGCGCTCTCCTGGGCAGACACCAGCCCAGGAGTGTGCACATGGACTTCAGGGTCCACCTGCCCCAGCACCTACTGTGAATAAGTCTTGCTGGCTCAGGCTGTGCCCGAGAGGCTCAGGGAAGTGGCCCCAGTGCCATCCCAGGGAAGCCTGGCTGTGACCAGCGCTACCACCTGGAGCCAGCACGTGGCACAGGGCCGGGGCTGGCCAGAGCCTGATGATCCCACCTGCAGCATGGCCTTTTGCGGGGCCGGGGGGAGGCACGTCTCATGTGCGCTCTTGAATGGCTTCCTTGTTCGCAGACCTGGTAAGTAACCAGAGTGCCGAGGGCCTGCTGGAAGACTGCGACCTCTTTGGGCCAGCGAGGGACGACGTGCTGGCCATGGCTGTTAAGATGGCGAACGTGCTGGATGAGCCTGGCCAGGATCTGGAGGCTGACTTCCCGAAGAGTAAGTGCTGGGCAGGGGTGGTTCAGGTCCATTGTGGGAGAGGCTGGGCTCACTGGAGAGACCTGGCTATAGGCATTGCCCCTTCAAAGGGGATGCGTGGGCCATTGGGTACAGGGAAGGCACGGGGCTGCAGGCAAGAAGAACTGGGGAGTGGAGAGGGATGTGGAGCTGGCATGTCGGGAGCCAGAGACCCAGGAGGAAGTGGGTGTGGAGGATCTGCACCAGTGACGGGGAGTCGCCAGGGCCTGGGCAGAACCTGGAGCAGCCCCTGAGGGGCACAGGGTGGGAGGAGGCACCACTTGGCAGGAGCTGTGACCAGGATGCAGGGGAGGCTGACAACCCAGTCTGCAGGAAGGAGACCAGCAAGGAAGAGGGTGAAGGCAGCTGTGCCCATTGCCTAAGTGCAGAGCTCCCCCAGCATGGGGTCTGGTCGGGAGAGACTAGCTGCTAAAAGGCACAGGCAGGAGTGTGGCTGCAAGGAGCAGTAGCATCCCTCAGAGTCAGCATGACCGCTCTGAGCCGGGACGCAAGCTGTGCTGGGTGCCAGTGCAACCAGTGACCGGCTGCAGCAGAGCCAGCAGGCGCTGGACTGTGCCATTCTTGCTGGCATCAGAGCAAGGAGCAGACCAAGCCCAGGGCAGATGTTGGAAGCAAGCAGGGGCAGGAGGCCTGGATGGGCAGTGTCCATGTGCCCAGGGCTCCATGGGCAGGGAGCTGGGGAGGTAGTCGTGGGTGGCAGAGCGTGCTCCAAGCCTACCCCTGGGGCACCCCAGTGAGGATGCCACCTCTTGACCCTAAATCCTGCTGTGCTCTTTGTTCCCCCACCCCCCAGACCCCCTGGACATCAACCCCAGCGTGGACTTCCTCTTTGACTGCGGCCTGGTGGGACCAGACGACGTGTCCACGGACCAGGACCTGCCACGCGCTGTCCGGAAGGTGAGTGACTGTCCAGGCCAGAGCTGCCAGCGGCTCAGTGGGCACTGCCTGCTCGGGACCCAGCCTGCAACTTTTGGGGACTGGAGCCGTGCCACAGAGGGAGCGGGACCAAGCATGGAACTTCCTCCTCAGCCCCCTGCTGCACCCACCCGCACTGGAGCCAGCTTGCTTCACAGGGGCACTGCTTGTCTGCAGTAGTGGAACCCAACACCAGCCTGTGGGGCACCCGTACTTGCACCTTATGGTGCCAGCACAGCCCTGGCACTGGACTGGCCCTGCTGGCCTTGGGGGGAAGGCTCTGTTCCCAGCTGGAAGCATAGTTGTGCCCTAAGCCAGGGCCCAGTGCCTTGGAGCAGTCCCCTGAGCGTGGGTGTGGGCATGGGCTGCAGCTGGGATAAGCAGGAAGGCGCAATGCCTGGGGTGCTGGGAAGGGCAGTGTCTGCCACAGTGGCAGCATGCCCAGCCCTCCTATGTGCTGCTCTGTAGGGTCAGAAGCGCCTGGTGCTGTCCGAAAGTTGCTCCCGGGACTCCATGAGCAGCCAGCCCGGCTGCACGGCACTGAACTACTCGTATGGCGTCAACGCCTGGAAGTACTGGGTGCAGGCCAAGTACGCAGGTGGCGAGACCAGCAAGGCGGAGGAGCTGCGCTTTGGGCGTAAGTGCCCTGCTCAGGGCAGGCAGGGGCTGTGGCACTGCTGGGCCTCAGGACACTGGAAGCTGTTGCAGGAGCTGCCAAAACCAGCCTGTGCCAGACCCATTCCAGCACCAGCACCAGGGCCTGGGGCAGCTCTGTGCTCCCTGCCCCAAGTGCCTGTGACTGAGACCAGTGCTGCTTTCCCCACAGCCAAGCCCATGCGCATCAAGGAGGACATCCTGGCCTGCACGGCAGCTGAGCTCAACTACGGCCTCGCTCAGTTTGTCAAGGAGATAACGCGGCCCAACGGTGAGCGCTACGAGCCGGACAGCA